CCGCCTGCGCCGTGCGGCTTCTGCGGCCGCCTGGTCCCGGGGATCTAGCTGGGGCGCGCCGAAAACCGGGTGCTGGCGAGGCCAACTCGCCGGGACAGGCCGGTCCGTACCGGTCTGTGCTGGCTGCTCGGCCGGGGAGGCCGAAACCTGCCGCGCGAAGAAATGGAGGGGGCACTCCTTGGCAGCAGATGGCTGGACAGTGACCACTGCGTGCCTCGATGGTCTTCTGTGTCCCAGCCAACCGCCCTCCGAGACGGACTGTGGCCGCCTCCCTCGAGCTGCGTGGCGTCGTTTCTGTCCCCAGAGGAAGGCTTCATTCTGGGGATTTAGATCCGACTCCGGACTGGGAAGTTGGTCTGGATGGACAGAGGAAACTGCCCGCCCACCCCGCTCTCCCGAAGGCACTAGACAAGTGGCTCTTGATGGTTTTGTTGTTGGATGGCCCTTGTCGCCGGGAGAACGCGCTGACCTTAGGTATGCGTGTACAATTTTCGATTCCAAAGGAGCGCTGCCCTCCTGCCAGCCTTGGAATCCAGATGCAGCACCGTCGCCCCCACCCCCGTCCCACCACCCCCCTCACTTGGGCTGTTTCTGTTCCAGCACTTCAGGGTGCCCGCAGAGCTTTAGGAAAACACACTGCAGGGTGAGTGGGTTGGAGGAGATGGACTGGCTTTCCTGGGCAACTGCTGACTCTGTGTTTTCTCTAGGGGGAAACTCGGCAGGTATCCTCCTTGGCCAGGAAAGGTGAGTGTCTGGCTGCTGTAGGAGGAAGACAGCCAAGGGTGGGTTTGGGGAAGCGGGGAATGAAGGAAGGAAGGAATGTTTCTAGCCTTCACTGAGTAAATCTCAGCCCGTTTAACACTCTTTCAAACGAGTGTAGTATGAGATTTACAAAGAACGGCATAAACCTGTGACCTGCAGGAAATGCTTATTTCTTGAGTCAGAGATTCAAGATTCCTGATGGCTTTTTGTTTTGTTTTGTTGTTTTTAACCCTGGAAATCAGTCCCAACTTGAATTTCACTTATGTTTCAATTGAACCTTTTAAGGGGCAGGGTGGAATTTTAGGGAGAGAGACATCTAAATGTAGGTTAGTAAAAAGTCAGTCTATTTTTGTCTCAACTAAGTTTAAACCTTCTCCCCATTCTGCCATATGTGCTGCTCCAAAGCATCTTTAGAAAAGTTGGCATTCCGGATCCTGCACGTGGCGGGCGGTCCATCACAGCTTCCCAAATGTTCCGCTTTTCATAGTTCTGCTTGGAGCCAAGTGGACGTCTTCAGGCTGTCTCTGTGATGTGGCATTTTCCCTGCCTCTCTTAAGACTGAAGCGTGCCCTCGCCATCTCTTCAACGATGAGTGTGACACGAGCGTTACGTTGGTGGAGAGGTGTTGGTCTGAGTCTGAGCTGCTTTTAAACGAGGCCACCGCTGTCCATGGGCTCTTGGGCCACCGCTAGCTAGAGGGAACATCTAGAATAACTCATGTTTTCACAAAGCTCGGCACAGAAGTGCCAGATCTGGACCTATACTACACGCTGGGTTCTTTTTTTATACATGGCACTCGATTTTGTTTTCCTTACTGACAGCACTGTAGGGAGTTACTTTAGTGGGCTGCACTGTTATGAAATCTTTTCCTACCTTTTCTACCCCAGATCGTCAATCCACCCAAAGACTTGAAGAAACCACGTGGCAAGAAATGCTTCTTTGTCAAGTTTTTTGGGACCGAAGATCAGTGAGTAGCTCTTCCCGGAACTCTGTCCTGCCTTTGTCTGCAGCGCCTCGAGGGCAGAGCCGCTGGGAGAATATTCTAGGGGTCTGTGCTGGCTTCTAACAAGTGGAAGTTGCTCTGCTTATGGCAGAAATTGCCCGGGGCGGGGCTGTGGTTGAACTTCTGAATGGGCTGACCAGACTCAGATAGTTTCTCGAGCTCTCTTTACCCACCCCCTTGGTCAGTTCTTGTGACAAAAGCCATGGTCAAGTTCCCTTTGGTGACTTATCCGTCACTGTGGTTTAGGCATGGGGTAGGCAGTGAATTTGGTTTCTCTTAATACAAGTGATTGTTTAATTCTGTTCTCGTTTGTAAAACTAGGGGATTTGCCCCAGCGTTGTAACAATGAAGTTTTTTCGCCAGAGCTGTCCTAGCCTTGAGGAAACCAGGCCCCATCGTGTGGAGCTTCTGGGTGGGTTCGGAGTAAGCGGTCACTGGGAGGGGAGCACATGCATAGCTTGGGCTCTTGTGTATCACTTTCTCGTCTCTCATCGAGTTGGGTGGCCTGAGTCAGCTAGTGAGGCAATCTCTGTTAAGTATTTGTACTTATTTCTACTTAGGAGTCTTACAGGGAAATGTGGCTTTGGGTTTAGAAAAGGTCTCTTGACTTTCCTATTCTGATCAATCAGCCCCTGGCCAGGGAGTTGATTCTGACTCATAGCAACCCCCTCGGACTTTAGGGTAAAGCTACCCCACAGGGCTGCTAAGGCTGTGATCTTCAGGGAAGCAGGCCATAGGGGCAGACAGCCTCATCAGTCTCCTGAGGAGCAGCTGGTGAGTCTCAGCCTCTGACCTTACAGTTAACCCAGTATGCCACTAGAATCCCTTAAGAGTAGTTGGTTAATAGGCTTTTCTGGAAAGCAGTATATAATAGCCAAAATCATCCTGCCGTCAAAATGATTCCGGCCCATAGTGACCCTGAAGGACAGTCAAACTGCACCTGTGGTTTCTGAGCCTGTGAATCTGTGTGAGCAGAAAGCCTCCTCTTTCTCCCAAGGAGCAGCAGATTAATTTGAACTAGCCTCTTGGTTAGCAGCCCAACTCCTAACACACTGTAGCAGCAGGATTCTTTTCCTGCGTATGACAATAGACATGAAAATTGTTACAAGATTTGTTCTTCACCTATATGCCGGAGTCCTTTGGTTAGTGTTTCACAGCATGTTTATCTTAACAATGTAGACAAACCTGTAAGCTAGGCGCAGTCTTGAGCTCTTTATCTTAACCCAACTTCTTAGCAGGTTTGCTGTCTGTAGCAAGATCTGCTGGGAGTTGGCGGCCAGAGCTGTAAGAGCCAAAGACACTCCGGAAGAGACTGTCCTTGCAGTACGTGAATTCCATCAGAAAGATGATCCTGATGTGTAAAACCAGTGTGGGTGACTCACCTGCAGTCTGCCGCGCTTCACCCTGGTGCTCCTGGGAAAGCGAGTAGCACAGTTGCCGTCTCCCAGCAGCTCAGATGCCTAGTCAGAACATAAACCTCAGAGGCAGAGTGAGTGGTGCCGGGGACTGATTGCTGCCACAGCAGTACTGACAGCATTCCAGCCCTTCCTACAAGTACGACTGCAATGTGGGTGACGTGCAAGTTATACAACCATCCTTTCTGAATATTTCTCCTCGGTTAGCATAAACTCACTGCCCATGAAGTTTCCTGTCTAGACTTTTCCGTAGTTGTTATCAGTTTGCCCCTAGGCAGATTTTTTTTAAAGAGTTTTATTGGCACATAATCCACCAGTCCTATAAGTCAGTAGTTCAATCCTATCCAGAAGAATTGTGCAATCTTTATCAAAGCAAATTTTAGAACATTTTCATCTTTCTTGTACTCCTTGTCTCTTAGCCTTCAGGTTTTCCCCCATCCTCCTCTGCTATACCTCCAAGAATCCAGCAATCCGGTTACTGTCTCTGTGGTTTGGCCTGACCTGGCTAGATCTTGAGAGAGCCCAAGGCAGGCATTCTCTACCAGTGAAGATAAACTTAAAGTTTGAGAAGACTTCAACAGTTTAAAGATCATCTTAAGGCAATCATTTGAGGGGGGCTCATGCAACCTCTGTGGCTCCAGAAAGTCTAGGATCCATGGGAATTTTCAACTCTGTTCTGCATATTCCTTCCCCCTTTTCATCAGGATCCATCTACAGAATCTTGGATCAAAATGCTCACTGATGATACTGGGCACCATCCAATTCTTCTGATCTTGTGGCAAAGGAGGCAGTTGTTCTTAGAAACGGTTGGCCACATGTTCCATTTCTTCTTCCCGAGTTCCTTCCTCTGTTCCTCTGGGCAGGTACCATGAAAAGATTCCAGGAGAGAGAAATTGATGGAGAGCAACAGGCAGTATAGTTGGCCCAAACTGGGTTGCCTAAATGAAGGATTCCCCTGGTCTGAAACAACAGTGGGGGATTGGGAGAGGGGGGATGGAATCAGATTAGAGATGGTTAAAGCCATTGTTTTCGTAGGATTTTTTTTTTTTTAAGATCAAAGCAGAAGGTAAGAGGAAACTGTAAGAGAGAGTTGGCGTGTTGGTGGTGGTGGTGGGTGCTGTGGAGTCTTTTCCAATCCAGATACAACAGAAAGCAGCACTACCCAGTCCTGCACCACCTCATGGTGTTTCCAGGTTTGAGCCCTTGCTTGTCACCACTGTGCAGTTCATCTCCCACAGTAGCTTCCTCTTTTTCTTGCTCACTGAGGTGACATAGGTCACAGAACATTGGAGGAGCACGCACTTTTGCACCTCACCAGGCAAACCGGTAAAGCTTGGGATGAAGGATGAGCTCACAGACACAGATCCTCTGCCTGATGGTGTCGGTGGGCAGGGACGGGACAGTGACCAGCTTTCTAACTGACAGGCTCTTTGGGGGCTCAAGAGCGTAGTAGGTGTGGGGCATCTGCTAGATGGGTGTCTTTCAGCCTTTTAAGCTCCCTTGGGAAAAAGTTCTACATTAAAAAAACACAAAGGAAGGCACCCCGTGATTAGCATGTTATCTGTTTGCGGGTAGGCATCTAACTCTGAGAAAGGAAACAGGCAGACCTCGGAGGCATTGTGGGTTCGGTCCCAGTCCCTGGCAATACAATGAGTCATGAGTATTCTGGCTCCTCGGGGCATTGAGATGTGATATTAGACTATAGATGACTAAGGAGACTTGGTTACTAACGGTAGGTCACTAGTTCAAACCCACTAGCTGCTCCAGTGGAGAACAATGAGCCTGTGTGCTCCCATAAAGGCCCCAGCCTTGGAAACCCAGCGGGGCAGTTTTAGTCTCACAGTGAGCCAGAGTTCCCTCAGTGTGGTGGGTTTGGTTTGGGTGGTCTACGACATGGGTGATAACATGGCAAATTTGGAAACACTGTGAGACTGGCCAAAGGGGGACATGAAGGGAACACAAAAGGGTTGGGGAAATGACCCCGATGGACATGCTCTGCACAGGGTTGCCACCAACCTTCAGGTTTTGTTTTGTTTTGAAGTGTACTCTTTGGGGAGTGCTAAGTGAGGTGTGCTGTGGAAGGTGAGGGTCTCCCTGGGACGGGAGGCCAGTTCTCAGGGAGAAGTGTGGAGGCAAGTTGTCATCATTCTCTTTTTGACCTTTTTGTTGTGGCTTAGGTCAAAGTTTCATAGAGCAAATGTGTTTTATAGTCAACTGTTCACGCGCATGTTGTTCAGTGACATTGACTATATAACTGAACTCTTCCCACTTCCTCCCTGTGCTGGCCCCCGGTAGTCCTCATTTCCTGCCCCTCCCCACCTCCGGAGCCTTCTCCCTGGGCAGTTGCTACCCTTGCAGTCTCTCTTGGTCGGTTGGCCTGAGGAGTGCCTGCATCCTGATGTTATCCCATCATCTCACTGAAAGTTGGGCCATGGAGTCGCTGTGCTCTGGCCTGAAGTGTAACAGTCTAAGGCAGGTGGTTGTTGTTACGTTCCACCGTGTCCTTCTGACTCGCAGCCCGGTGCTGTGCCACCCTCACAGTATGTGTGAGCCCCTTGTCACGGCCACTGGGTCATTCCATCTTGTCAAGTGCCGTCCTCTTTTCTGCTGCCCCTCCACGGTTCCAAACATGTCTTTCTCAGGGACAAAGTCTCACCACCATCCTTGCTTCTAAGGAGCATTCTGGCTGTACTTCTTCCAACAGAGATCTGTTCTTTTGTCAGTCCAAAAGGGCATAGCTTCCCAAATTTATTTGACCTATTGCTCCATGCCCCCTGGCAAAGAGACACTTTGGTACTGTAGCCTATAATCTAGGATAAGGCATAGCTGCTTTGCAACCCCATTAGATCCTTGATCTTTTCAGTGCCCCCGGGAGGGCAGTGGTATTAGCCACTTCGGGAAACATCACTCTCGCATCACTTAGCAGATCAATATGCCTGCTCTTGTGGTGGTTTTGAGTCCGTGTTTCTCCCATTCTTTTCAGGACTTCCTGCTGTGATCCGTTTCAGAGCAGCTGGTTGTGGTAGCTGGGCACCACCTAGTTCTCTGGGCTCATGGCAGACCATGGAGACAAGCTCACATGAGGCACAAGTCCTTTGGCCTTGTTGCCTTGAGTCTCCGGTTTTCTCACTCCTACTTGTTAAGCACAGGTAGAGAGAGTAGTAGTTGCTCACACACTTTTAAGATCCCCGTTGCTAGTCAGCAAAGTGGGACGTACAGTACTGCCTGTGTATACTGTGTTATGCCCATGACAGTGGGATCCTCAAAACCCAGGCCCAGCAACTCATTTCCTTGAGGTGTTTGGTTACAGCTAAGAAATTCCATTTTCCCACAATCTTGTTGAAGTTTGTATGTATATTTTTAGGAATTTCATCTGCTTTTATACAGTCTGCAGTGCCATCAGGGGACCTTGGAAGGTGAGCTCTTGGTTTGCTTCCAACCTGGTGATTTGGACAGACGACTCACATATCCTCACCCCTCTATCCCTGTCCACATACTGGGGGATCACTCATGGAGATGGTGGCCTGGTGTGCCGACAGGTGTGCAGCC